GGGCTTCATGGGCCTTTGGGCTTTTGGTACCCAATATTGGGCTCATTTTCATTCTTGTAATTTTTCCTTTCTATTGTATTTGATTGGCCATTGTATTTAGGCCATTAGCATAGGAATTTAAAGGAACTAAGTATTAGGCATAGATCATAGAAATCTAATTACATTTAGGAGTAATTAGAGTTTCATTTGAGTCACATGGTTTGTGCCAAAGGGGGCTGCACATGTGAACACTTAAATGAACTCCAAATTAGCTCTAAATGCAATTAAGTTTCTAGAAAGGGTGGCTGCACATGGAGGATGCAAGTGGACGTCCAAATTTGAATTCAAATTCAAATTTGAATTCAAAATTGGCGCCACTTGTTGCACATGGAGTTGGCGCCATTTCACATGGATCCGTGGCCTTTATATTTTAGTTCCCTTCCATCTTGTAAACACTTTGAATCATGAATGAGATTTTCTGAAAATTATTCAGCCAAGTCTCTCCCTCAAAGTCACCTTGACCGAAAGTTTCTTAGCTTTCTTCTAGGAAATTAGGTCAAACTTTGTGAGCAATCTTTTGCTCTTTTAGCTCAAGTGCTTCCTTCTCCTTCCATCTTCATCTTCTTCTTTCCTTCCGTGAACAATCCAACTCTTCATCACCTCAAGGAAGTGATCATAAGGCCGAGCAACTTAAGGAGTGGAGAACATCAATCCTTTCCACTTGGAGTTGCCATCACCATATAGGAAAGAGTTATGATTTCTTTTAAACACGTTAAGTGCTCTAGGTTATCTCACTTGTAATATAATTATACAACTGTGATCTGAAGAGGGGGGCAAATCAAAGGTAGTCAGAGAGGAGCTTGAATATTAGAATACTGAAGCTAGTGTCAATTAAGGTAAGAGGGGAATGAGAACCTCGCTCCGTGGTGTAGGGTAATTGTTGAGTAATGGGATTGATCCCCAATCCTTAGGATGTGTGCATGTATGTTGGAGAGAGAGATTAAGCTTGATCCTTTTGTGAATCTGTCATGAAATTGAATGTTTTGCATATGATATGTGTGTATTGATGTTTTGATTATAAGACTTGTATGTAATTATGAATATATGAGTGTTTGTGAGTTCCCAAGAAATCCAAAAGTGTATTTAAACCCTTAAATATAAGTGAATTCAAAATATTAGTAATTGCATGGACTAATTAGACCCTAGATACTTCTTTAACAAATTAAAATCACAGAAATTGTAGAACCCTCATATTTGTAAATTCACAAATTATGTAGACTATGTTTTACTAATACCATGTTGGGCGGTAGCTTCGGCTTACTAAGCATGGGAACCACAAAATGCTAGCAGCCTCGACCACGTCACACATGGGCCGAGTCTCACCAAGCATGGAAACCTAAAATACTTGCGACATTATTGATGCTAGGCGTGAGTGAGTCGCGTCAGGTGCAAAAGCTCTTGAGGATCTCTAGATGCATCTCATTGGATGTGGGGAGGATTACGCTAGGCATGATGCCTTCTAGAGGCTCTCAACCTTGCACGCATCGAGCATAGGGCATGCCTCGTTGAGAATGACCTTGTGTCTGAACTTACTTCTTATGTGTGTGTATGTGTGAGTGATTTGTGCATCTAAGTGATTGTGATAAGTGAATGTGATACGTGATTAATTATGAAGTTATAAAGCATATGTGTTATGAATTATAAGTGATAAGTGATTTATGTAGTAAATGCATTGAGTCTTGAATGTCATGCATCAGGGACGGATCTACATACAACATAGTGGGGGCACTTGCCCCCACTACCATTTTACACATACACAATTATTTTTATCCAATAAAGTAATATATTTTAAAAAATAAAAATTATATTCTAATAATAATATATATATATATATATATATTTA